AACCTACTCTCCAATAAACAATTTGGTTTCAGAAAAAAACTATCCTGTAATCTGCAACTCTTACACTGCAAAAACATATGGACGACACAACTAGACCAGGGCAAAGCAATAGACGCAATCTACATAGACTTCTGTAAAGCCTTTGATTCAGTGGTACACGACAAACTACTCCTAAAAATAAAATCCTATGGTATCTCTGGACAACTGAATAACTGGATAGAAGCATTCCTGTCAAACAGACAACAAATGGTCAAAATTGGGAGCGTCCTATCAAATTCAGTACCTGTCAATAGTGGTGTCCCCCAAGGCAGTGTTCTAGGACCAACTCTCTTCATACTCTACATTACGTATCTGATATTAGCACAATTGAGAAAGTTCAGAAATATTTCACAAGAAGAGTTCTCCACTCCTCTACTCGTTGTAGAATACCTTATGCCACCAGACTTGAAATTCTAGAACTAGAAAACCTTGAACTACGCCGTCTTCGGTCTGATTTAAGCATGGTATATAAAATCATACATTGCAATGTCCTACCTGTCAATGGATACTTCAGCTTCAACCATAACAACACAAGAGCACACAATAGATACAAACTCAAAGTTAACCGCACCAAACTTGATTGCAGGAAATATGACTTCAGCAATAGAGTGGTCAATGTCTGGAATACTCTACCCGACTCTGTAGTTTCTTCTCCAAACCCCAAAAACTTTAACCTTAGACTGTCTACTATTGACCTCACCCCTTTCCTAAGAGGTCTGTAGGGGGCGTGCATAAGCGCACCAACGTGCCTACCGCCCCTGTCCTATTGTTTCTCTTATTCTTCTTTTATTTTTCTTATATGTACCCATTTCATGTATTCACAACTATGTATACACTTATACTTATCTTGTAAACAATTGGCAAATCAAATAAATAATAAATAAATAAATAATAAAATAAATAACATTGTATTGGTTCTGCCTTGTCCATTGCTCACTTAAGCCTCACTTAACTATCAGCATTTGGCTTTTAATATACTGTATTATTTGGAAAGCTTATTTCAATAGAAGTTCACTATACTTGATCTATGATTTCAAAACCCTGCAATTAAATTGCTATTATTGTTATCAACATTTTCAATATTGTTTTGTTTCATAATCTCCCAATTTTTAAAGCGGGGTATGCATTCTTGGAAAATAATAGCAAATAATGCATTACATCTTCTCAAGCGCTAGCTGTCTACAGTGGAAGTAAATTCTCTACAATGGAGGTCAATTTTTAATTGCAGGTCACATTACAGTATTAAGCAAAGGCAAAGGCAAAACCTTTGGGTTAATGCTCCTGAGCTATCAAGCTATGAAGTATGTATATCAGATACAATGCTCACATGTATAAAATGAGCAGTGGTTAATAATTGTTAGTTATTAGATTTGTCAGAGGATATAATCGAATGTGTGGATGACCTTGGGGAATGACGGAAAGAGATGGAAACAATCAGACAAGCATACACTTGCAGGAATGACTTAATGATTAAAGAAAGAAACTTAGGAAGCACATATGCTAATAGATCAAGTGGTTACAAGTGGTAGTGGGAGGCTTGCCAGATTCTGTTAATGTACCCTTTATAGTAAAGTAGATTTAGCTCATCTAGTGGTGTTTTCTGTCTGGTTTACCTGGGAGAGCTGACATCAATCTCAATTGCAAGTCTCAAAGGACAAACTTCCCGCCACAACTGTTAACCATCTGAATAACTAGAGTGGGTCTTTCCTAAGTTTCTTTCTCTGACCGTTAAGATATTGGGGACTTCTGCCCCTCTTATCTGGTTGTTTAGTAGGTGACATCTCTTCTCCTATTTTCCTCAGTTCATCCACACATTCCATTAAAGAGGATAAAGTTAGACTACATTTTCAAAGAAAGGAACTCAGCATACTTAGGATCTTCCAAGACAACAGATCCATTCTCTGACTGGAGAATGAAAAACTAACAGAACCTCCATTTTCCTCCAGTCTCAGAAAAATCTGAATCTTCAGAGCCACATGAAGTCCTTAATCACTCATCTACTTCCTCCAAAGATGTTTATGAAACATTGTTCTAGTAGACAAGAAGTTCCAAGAGTTAAAAACCTGATTTACTGTAGGCTTAATTCTAACTACCACTGGCACAAGAGAATTTCTGCTTTCTATATATTTACTTGATGGATCATTCATAGTGGATTCAACTTTCCCTCCATTGATCGACTAATACATGTCCTTAACTTTGCTTCCCTTCCCTTCCAAAGCTTTGAATAATTATAAAACAGACAACATAGAATACATGATTTTGTAGAGATAGGAGAAACCCAAAAGCATGGTACATCCAGTCCTTATTCTCTTAATTTCTTATCGAGAATTAAGCCTAATTAAGCATAGCAGTTTAATGTTTAAATATATACGTATAGGGTGGTTCCATTAAAAAGGTACTACTAGAAAGCCAGAATGTTTAATTTGTTGTTTAAACCAAAGTGATTTATATGAAACATTTTTTATTTCAGATACAAGCTCGAACACTTTATTTATTTGAAGTATTTTCTCCTCATATGAATTACTATTCTTGATTTTATAAATAGACAAGATATACAAATGTTAACTTTAAAATGTGTTCTCAAAGGAAAAACAATTTATGCTAATTTGAGTATCAAGTAAAAAAATCTCATGAGGATTTAATGAGGGTTAAATCCTCATGAGGATTTAATTTAATTTAAAAATATCATTTTTAACATCCTTGCCTCTTTTATATTTTATACAGTTTTTATGTTTACTCTCTCTGTGAAAGAGATTGGCAGTTTTAAATGTAATAAATAAAGTTCTGGTATTTACAGAAAAATTATAAAATTCAAAAAGAGCAGGTAATCTGCTATATTATTTTAAGATATCTGATTTTGTTGTGGGGAAGAAAGAAGATTTGGTAAAAGAAGTATCATCTTAAACTTGTATGTATTAGTCCATCACAGCAAATAAGACACCTGACTTTTAAATAATCCCTTTCTTAGCTTATTGTATTTGTGTTTCTAAGAAGCACTTGTTTAGGGGTATGTGTATTGCATAACAAGGTAAACAGTAACTTATTTATTCTCATATACATACAACAATTTTTAGTCTGCCCTTGGCATAATATTACCATATTTGGTATAATGGTTAGAAAAGTTTTTTCCACATACATTGTTCCATTTATGTTGAATGTTTTACACTGAACGTATGAATGTCATAACATTTAGCAGGGATGAATGGGGGTTTCTGGGTATTTAAATCTAATGCACCTTAAGAAAAGTTGACCCTGAACTGAAGAAAAACAAGTTTAAATCTCAGCCAGCCATAATGTTCACTTTGGTTGTCTTAGGCCATTTGCAGTGCTTTAAGAAGAGGTGAGGACAACATTGGAAAAGGGATGAAGTCTCATGTGGAATGTCTTAGACAAAATATAGCATTTAAATTTCTAAACAATGCATTCACCAGCAAAGAATTAAGGAATAGAATGCAAACAATTAACAGGAAACAAGCATACCCTGGCAAGAATTTTAACCAAAACTATCAGTTTAAGCCAAGCCAAGGGAGTTTCATTTTGGATAAAGATGGCAGTAGCATTACATGGCCAAAATTGCTAAATTTGTATTATACACAAAACAAATATTTTGAGCAGAGCTAGGCTTAGTTTGTTTCACTTAGCAACCACTATTTATTTATTCTTTTGCTAAAACCTCTGTGAATAAAACTTGGGAATCATCCACAAGTCCCACAAAGTGAGAACCTTCTATCATTCATTTTTTTGGATTTATCTTTAGTGCTGGGAACCAGTACTCCGCCTTTGAAAATGACTCCCATTTAGTTCACTTACTGCTGTTTAGAATGGAATAGCCTCGTCCTGAGTAACTCAGGGGCATTTTTGATCATTCTCTCCTTCACACTCTGAATGTCTTAATGATCATCTTTAGCAGTCCCATTGCCTTTAGTGTCAGAAAATGTGCTGGGGAAAAAAGAGTACAGCTTCTTTAAACCCAAATTACAGTTTTACAGTATGCATGTATTTTCTGTGGAGACATATTACCTTGCCTTTGGTAAACTATTACACCAACATGGGATGCAGTTGTGTGAGATGGTAACTGAAACATTTGGAATCATAGAGTAATTCCAAACTCAGATTCCACATATTGTCATGTACCTGACATTGGCAAAACTGTATATTTTATTTTATTTATTTATTTAATTATGTAATTGCATTTCACTTGGTGACTCTGGATGGCAGATAGAAAATTAATCAAGAATGTAGGATTGGATTGGATTAGATCCTTAATCTGGCCAAGTGTAATTAGACATACAAGGAATTTTTCTCCAGTACAGAAGTACTCAGTGTATTTGCAAGGCAACAGAGATAATGATAATGATAATGATAATGATAATGATAATGATAATGATAATGATAATGATAATGATAATGATAATGATAATGATAATGACAATAACAATAATAATAATAATAATAATAATAATAATAATAATAATAATAATAA